ATTTAATAATATCGTAATATATGAATTAATTTAATTGTTTATAGGCAATTCACTTTATATTTTTTATCATCGAGTCTCCTTCAAAAAATCGTTCAAAAAATCAACCAATGTGTAAAAAGTGACAATGTATAGCATTAACAAGAGCGATAGGCATTGTAAATTTTTTTATACTGGATTTGGATTAGACGTTTAATGTTTACGGAATAAAACGTTTTTAGACGGAATGTGAATGGAATTGATAATGTTATCGGATAAACGTCTGGACGCCGTACGCACGCACATGTATCTTTAGGGTCAATTTGTATTTACAATAATTTACAATACCTTTATAGAATGCATATGGGATGAAAACGGAAAGAATATGAAAATCGACCTTAAATCAGCTCTTAAAATTAGGCATTCGGCTGGTACGCTGAAAGCTTGAGGTAGAATTGCTGAGAATGTCTCGAGTCATTGTAACTATGTACATGCGGAAATGTTTTTTCGTTTCTTTTACACCACTCTAAAAAATCTTCGTCCTTTGTGGCTTTGTCGGATTCTAAATGGTTCTTCAGTTCGTGTTTTTAAAAAACTCACCATCTCCAACTGTAGAAATCTGCTTAAACAAATATCCTACTTCTATATTTTCTTCGTCGTTGGAATTATGTATTTTCATATTTTCTGCCATGGGAATTTTTGGTGCGCACTTTGCAGCGATTCGTTTTAAAATCTTATCCCGACCTAGTGTAACATTTACGATTTTCTTTCTTAATTTTTATGTGTACGGGTGAGAAAAATAGACAGTGGACGCGGAGGAAAAGAAAAGCTTAGAAGCGTTCGAAATGTGGTGTTGTAGGCGAATGATGAGGATACCGTGGATAGAGAAGGTTAGAAATGAAGAGATTAGAAAGAGTAGGAGAACAGAGGAAGTCAATAAGAAATAGGCGAGATGGGTTAGTAGGACACTTTCTCGGGCATGAAGATCCAGTCAGAGACATATTACAGGCAGAAACAGGAGTTAGGAGAAGCAGAGGTACACCTAGATTAGATAAGTGTTCGCAAATAGTTAAGGATTGCGGGTTGTTCTAGTTTTAGGTAAATGCGAAGATTAGCTCAAGATAGGAAAGAGTGGATGTGCGTGTCCAACCAGTCTAAGGACTGACGACCTTATGATGATGATATGTGTAAAACTATATAATTTTTTTTAAGAGTTCAACATAAAAAAATAAATCAATCTCTACTTCTATACCAAATAAGAATTAAAGTTGTGGAAATGGGAAGAAGTGTTTGTAATGTGGTATGGTAAATAATTGACAAATTAATTAAATTGGATTTAATGGTATATAGGTAATACTTTACATAAAAAGTTTATCACAGTATTACGTAATTTTTCTTTTATTCTCCGAATTGATAATCTACTTTCAATGTGAAAATAAGGGTTCTTTTTACTTTTAAGAATATGGAACCCCAGAAAAAAACTTAACTCATTCACACATTCTTTCTTAATCTAATTTCGCCAGACACGATACCAAAATACTATGCAGCTTGGGCGAGTTTTATAATAGAGTTATTTGCTTTCCATAAAATTGTTTTCAATCGCGAAATGCCTCGCCTCGTCATTCTTCTATTTTTTGGAGCAGCGCCAACACGTTCACAAGTGCAAAATACTTTTCTTCCTTCCTTCTCTAGCAATTGCAATTGTCAATATGTACTTTTACATTCGCGAAAATTCTCTCGCGAAATGTGCTGAAGCAGCCAACAACAATATCGAACATCCTTAAGAACTACCGATCTCCAAGATTGAGAAAACCGAAGATTCGCTAAGGTATACATATATATATATATATATATGTTT